TAAAAGATAAATTAAATTGATTTATGCTTTCATTTGCACTGTACTGTAAATTAAAACTAACTGAAATTTCTAGCGTCACATAGGCCAAGACAATAGGCTATTGAACTAAGTGTGCCTGTAAAAGGCTATTAGTGTTATAGCTTCATGAAAATAGTTGCAGTCTTCTTAACAACTTCTACAATATAGCTATGAAGACGATTCAATTATTTACACTTATTATATATATATATATTTTTTTTTAAAGTTAATCCGTTGATGTGCATCGGATGATGAATTGAATAGTCACCTCTACTATTGTCGGTTATGTTTTAGCCATCAGAAAATAATTAATGAGGAATTATGAGAGGTTATGCTATTACACATACATTTCTAACATGTAAATTATTGAAGCCAAATACTTACATTTCCCCAAGCTGTTTAGCTGTAGTACAGTATTCATAGGCTTAATCATGAAGCATACAGTGGCCCCACCTTTAACTCTATCTTTATATTACCCTTATTGTAGATGGATGCACAGAGGAAGACAAGCGTAAGAAGCGCAGTGTGGGAGTACTACACAACCAACACCAGGGAAGGCAGTTTTTGTCAGAGCCCTTGTTATTCTTAATTTTGACATTCATTTTAATTTTTACACCAGACATACAGTATATATATATCGGTTTAAAATATCGGTTATCGGTCTACTTGATCTGTAATAATCGGTATCGGCATCGGCCCTGAAAAACACATATCGGTCGACCCCGACCATATGCTGCTGAGTTTTCATTTACACTTCCTGAATTTAGTTATCATCAAAACATTTGGCAAAATTCCTTATTTCTCACAAACACTGATGCTTACATGCACGTTGAATTTCAGTCTGAATATGCTTTACTGACATGACAAATAATTGTACATTCATTTTTTTACCAAGCATCTGTATTTTAGCTGCGTCCAGGAAAAAAAAAATAGCGCTAAACAAACAACATACATAAAGCCAAAGACTCTGTAATTGCTGTTTTTATATGTGCAGTATACGTGCTGTTCCGTTTAATTGGTATTATTCATATGCGTGTGTGTGAGAGAGAGAGAGAGAGAGAGAGAGAGTTAGAATTGCTTCAGGCATTGTCTGTATTTCTAACAGTAGTAGTTATTTATTTTTGGTAAGGACGGATCTGTGTGTGTGTGTGCGAGTGTGTGAGTGTGTGTGTGTGTGTGTGTGTCTGTGTGTCTGTGTTGTGTGTCTGTGTCTGTGTGTCTGTGTGTGTGTGCGAGTGTGTGAGTGTCTGTGTATGTGTGTGTGTGTGTGTGTGTGTGTGTCTGTGTGTGTGTGCGAGTGTGTGAGTGTCTGTGTGTCTGTGTGTGTGTGTGTGTGTGGTTTAGATGTGCTCTACATCTTAAGGAAACACTCCTGAGCAAATTAATTAAGAAAACTGAAACAAATCACTGAAGCATTAAAATATTTGCACGATTCTCAGAATCAGTGGCATGACAACACAATCCAATAAGCTTTTACGAAGCCTCAGAAGAGCTGAACCTGAATTAAGCCAAACATTAAAACATTAATGCGCTGCTGTGGTTTAGTGGTTAAAAAGCTGGGCTGATTTCCAAAAGGTTGTAGGTTTGAACTCTTTAAATTCTTCTGAAACACTGTTTTGCGCCCTTGAGCGCAGCGCCTGACCCCGGGTTTCTCCGGGAGGAACGAACCTGTGGGAAAGCGTAATGTAAGTCACTCCAGATGAAAGCTTCTGGAAATGAATAAATGTACATGCTGTTTCTCAGAGCTTTCTGCTGCAGACTTCGGTTCATCTGCTCTTCTCATGAGGATTGCTAGATTTGCAGAAAGCACTCATGAATACGGGATTCCCATCTTACTGAAACCAAACATGACGTGTCCTGAAATATTGTCGAGTCATGAAAAATACAGCAGCGGAAACTTAAGAAAACCCGTTTATTCTGGAGAAGAGCGCGTCTCCCTAGAGAGCGTCTGCGGTCGGTGCAGTTTCGCTCTGAGCCTTAATCTCGCAAGTATTCAGCACGGTTAGAACAAATTACTGCAAAACCAATAAAAAATCAAGCTAAATTGTGAATATGGTCCCACTTTATATTAGGTGGCCTTAACTACTATGCACTTACAATTCAATTAATAATTTGGTACAATGCACTTATTGTGTACATACATGTTTTTACGTTGTACTTATATATTTTTTAAATACCTATATGTAATTACATCTGTAATTAATTTCTGTAATTACATTTATAATTACACTGTTGACCCATCCCTTACACCTTAACCCACCCTTAAACCTACCCATACCACCAAACCTGTCCCTAACCTCACCCGTATCCCACCTCAGTATGAACACAGTAAGTACATTGTACTTATTTTTTGATGTAAGTACATACAGTTAAGGCCACCTAATATAAAGTGTGACCGTGAATATGAATTGTATTGAATCCACAAAGCAATGTGGGAGTTTAAGTGCTTTCATTTACTTGACACAAACCCTCTTAGAATAAATAAAGTTTATTTAAACACATTCTGCTGTGAACAGACAAACACGCCAACGTTTGCATAGCAGGATTTTTCCGGTGCGATGCAGCGCACAGTAACGCCACTGTACAGTGTGTAGGGAGAGAGAGTGTTGATGTGCCATCATTTGTGACCCAGTCATAAGCAGCACAGGTATATTTGTAGCAATAGCCAACAATACATTGTATGGGTCAAAATTATACATTTTTCTTTTATGCCAAAAATCATTAGGATATTAAGTAAAGATCATGTTCCATGAAGATATTTTGTAAACTTCCTACCGTAAATATATCAAAACTTAATTTTTGATTAGTAATATGCATTGCTAAGAACTTCATTTGGACAACTTTAAAGATGATTTTCTCAATATTTAGATTTTTTTGCTCCCTCAGATTCCAGATTTTCAAATAGTTGTATCTCAGCCAAATATTGTCCGATCCTAACAAACCATACATCAATGGAAAGCTTATTTGTCCAGCTTTCAGATGGGTCAAAGCATAGGCGCCGATTTATGTTTCTGTCGTTGGGTGCTTAAACCAGTTTTTTTTTATATATAAAACACATTTTCACCACTGTTTCCACGACTAAATAATAACTGGGCTAAGTTATCTTACACATGCGCAACAAATTTAATATTTTCAAATATTTCATTCTCATTACTTAATAATTAATTATACTGGGTATTCGTTTTTATTTATTTTTTTCTAGAGTATACTCCGTTGGATGGTGCGTTTGATGAATTTACTACACAAAATGTATCTTGTGAAGTGAAACGCATGGACTGCAAATACATTATTTAGTAACCAAATAATACACACATTCTTTCTATGAGGGTTGCGTTTCACTAAATAAAATGATTTAATAAATACCTGTTTACAATAAGCACTTATTCACACGTACACAGGACAGAGTTTGAGGGCGCACATGTCATATCTGAGGGAGCGCAGAGCCATGATCTCTGTATGGGAGAGCAAGCCAAGAGATTCGTGCTGGCGCCCTCTCGTATTACAGTAATGCACTCTTGACATTTGCCATTCAATAATGCCAAAAACTGCCTCAACTGAACTATGAAAATTAGAATAAAGTCGTACAAGCTGCAATCCATTGCTTTTTGGTTAAAATGAACGGAGACTAGTGTTTTTCCGTGGGTGCTCAGGGGCTCGAGATCGGCACCTATGGGTCAAAGGGTCAAAAAATGGACCCTTATGACTGGTTTTGTGGTCCAGGGTCAAATTTGGTGAAAATGCTCATGTTCTTTCTCCATCTCTGCAGGAAAAGAAGAATCGGTGGCCACCTTCAAGGGGAACGAGTTCTTCTGTTACGATCTGTCCATGACTCCCATCCAGAGCAGCACGGATGAGATCACGCTGTCCTTCCGAACGCTCCAGCGCAACGGTCTGATGCTTCACACCGGGAAATCTGCAGACTACGTCAACCTGTCGCTGAAGAGCGGCGCCGTCTGGCTCGTCATCAACCTGGGCTCCGGCGCCTTCGAGGCGCTCGTGGAACCGGTGAACGGGAAGTTTAACGACAACGCTTGGCACGATGTTAAAGTCACGCGAAACCTGCGACAGGTAAGACTGAGCGCTCGCTTCTTTAAAGCGTGGATATTGATCTCTAACAGATGTGCTGGACGTCGGGAATCACTGTGGAAAGGGCTTGATCGCACATCACTGGCTGGAAACATTGTGTAAACCGTGGCCTGCGATCCACAGTGCTTCCCAATGACTGCAGTGTGATTCCTGACAGGTCTGGGAGCAGCGGTGTGTGTTTTCTTGTTAGACCTGATCCAGACCGATCCAGACCCATGCCTCCTGCTTCAGGACTTCATTATGTGCACCTTAACTTAATGTTCTGTTCAGAGAAGAGTTGTCCATCTGAAATTGACTCCAACCTAATGAAGTCGGCAGTCCTTAGGGGACGAGAGCGCCGGTCTGGTTCTACAGGCTGAAATCAAGGATTTTATGATCGGACCTGATTGACTTTACATGTCCGCATTGAAAAAGAACAGAAACGTGTATTAACAGAACAAATAACAGCACACGACACTGAACGCGATATGGAGAAACACTCACAGAACGCTTACCCCAGCACTCGTGAACCGCATGCAACACAATGGCATAATTTATTAAAGGAGCTTCATTACGAGCGCAAACTGATGGAGCGAACACAGTCCCGACTCTCATGACTCAGCGGGACGCTTCATTCGCACGCACATAATGAATGTTCATGGACGGAAACACAAACGAGCTTCACATACTGTACATATATAGGCGATTCTTCAGCTATGCCCACTTTTGTCCTTGTAAACTGCATATCTTCCAGTTAGCAATTGGTGTGTCCTAAATACAACCTTAAAATCATATTTTCACATTTTCTGCATACTTGCACCAAATTACAGCTGGATTGGAAATAGTGCACAATAAAAATAGTGATATTTACCTTGATTTTTTTTATGTTTTATCTCGATCCCTTCACTGATGCCTCTCTTAAACTAGCTTTAGAAAAATAAATCTTTAATAGTTCAGATGAAACTTATGCTAGTTTTATAATTGATGTAAAGATGTATTGTCTATAATTTAATTAGAACGGTTGTTTTCTATGCTGTGACATGGTGTGTTATGTTGGAGAGTCTTTTTTTAACTTTTTTAAAGCACTTATGCCAGTTTTAGTTGTTTTATTGGTGCTATGTAAATAAAAAATAAAAAAACACATTATTTTTCATTCAATAATTATAGAAGTGGTTGATCCTAGTTTAAATAAAATGCATAATTGTTTTAATAGTTGATATTTTAATTATGGATTTTTTTTTTTAGTTTAAGATTAAAATATTTGTTTGGAGTAAGTAAAACAATAAAATTAGTCAAAAGATGAAGGAAAAACATTTTTAGATTGATGTTCATATGAAATTAAATTAAATCAACTGCTGGGACATAAATGTGTGTATAGCTGAAGAAACACCCTTACGCTCTTGGTTTTTTTCCACGTGTCTGACACACACACACACACACACACTCACACTCACACACACA